TCAAATTTTTCCCCCCCCCCCCCCCCTCCAAAAAAAAAACCCACACATTTTCAATGAAGAAAGATGATGTCACCGTTCAATATCAGTACAAAAAGTGCCGCTATGGAAGGACCTTCACCCCACACCTCTTCCTCCTCCTTCTTCTTCTTATTCTATATCTTAAGGGCCCACGATCAATTTATTGATCATTTTGGCTCCTATGCATGTAGATGGGATTTGCTATGTTTCTGTCCCGGTGTTGATGAGGAAATTTCCCAGATTTCCAGTGCCACTTTGTGAGGAAATCATGCACTAGGGGTTTGAAGACTTGAGGCAATAGACACAAATGTGTCTAGTGTTGTCGCCTCAACCGTTCCTTGCAATACAATAATCGAAAATATTTAATGAGAAATTAACATAAAACTGTAAACCTTTGGTCTCTTTCTACTAGATGTTAAAATACTACCTCATTCTCTTTCTACTAGATGTTAAAATACTACCTCAATCTCTTTCTACTAGATGTTCAAATACTACCTCATTCTCTTTCTACTAGATGTTAAAATACTACTTCATTCTCTTTCTACTAGATGTTAAAATACTACCTCATTCTCTTTCTACTAGATGTTAAAATACTACCTCATTCTCTTTCTACTAGATGTTAAAATACTACTTCATTCTCATTCTACTAGATGTTAAAATACTACCTCATTCTCTTTCTACTAGATGTTAAAATACTACTTCATTCTCTTTCTACTAGATGTTAAAATACTACCTCATTCTCTTTCTACTAGATGTTAAAATACTACCTCATTCTCTTTCTACTAGATGTTCAAATACTAACTCATTCTCTTTCTACTAGATGTTCAAATACTACCTCATTCTCTTTCTTATCGATTTTAAAATACTACCTCATTCTCTTTCTACTAGATGTTAAAATACTACCTCATTCTCTTTCTACTAGATGTTAAAATACTACTTCATTCTCTTTCTACTAGATGTTAAAATACTACCTCATTCTCTTTCTACTAGATGTTAAAATACTACCTCATTCTCTTTCTACTAGATGTTAAAATACTACCTCATTCTCTTTCTACTAGATGTTAAAACACTACCTCATTCTCTTTCAACTAGATGTTAAAATACTACTTCATTCTTTTTCTACTAGATGTTAAAATACTACTTCATTCTCTTTCTACTAGATGTTCAAGGACTACCTCATTCTCTCTCTACCAGATATTAAAATACTACCTCATTCTCTTTCTACTAAACCTTTATTTCTGAAGTACACAATAAGACAGATGTAGACACTGATTTGAGTTTGACGACAATTTCTTCACACTTCTTATACTCCATCTGGACATGACGACATTTCACTCTTAATAAATATGAATAAAGGTGGATATGACGACATTTCACTCTATTTAAATCTGAAAAATGGTGGACGAAACGACATTTCACTCGAAATAAATCTGAACAAAGGTGGCCGTGACGACATTTCACTCGAAATAAATCTGAATATGTCAGGTATGAAAGACAGCAGTCTGCTTACTAAAGTCTAAGAATATATAAGGGGTTCTCTCACCCACCAGAGGTATACACCTATGTTACAAAGTAAACAGAATGTTTGACTCCGCACAACTTTGCAGATAGCTGGTGATACCCTGACCACGAGAGAGTAGCCACCGAACCACCCGTTACGGTCATCAGATGGACAGCACAGGTGGCCTGACCATGAGCCTTGGACCAGTAGTAATGAAGTGACCACGGGCCGACCATGCCACTCCTGGACGGTGAAGATGACAATAGCCACGAGGAGGTCACGTTAAGCAGACACAAGAGAGAAGGAAGCAAAGTCAGACACCAGAGGAGAATCACCTGATGGATATTGGCCACTACGCCTTGACGTCCAAAGTCAGACAACACGCTGTGATCTGATTGGTCTGACACTTAAAATGCGTTATGCGTATGAGAAAATGTATGACTTTGTGACATATATCCAATCAGTGTATGACCGAATGACCTATATTCAAAGATTGTATGACTGGATAACATATGGCAAACTATTATATGACTTAATGACATTTGCTACATCATTGTATGACTGCATGTCAGTCCAATCATTGTTTGACTTTGACATGGCGACTTTTGCCACAACTTTGTATGACTGGATATCAGTTCAATCATTGTATGACTTAATGGCATTTGTGACAACACTGTATGACTTTGTGACACTTTTTCAAAGACTGAAGAATTTTGTCAAATGTTTTCAAAGATTGTTTGACTTGGTAACATTTTTTCAATCATTGTATGACTTGGCGACATTTGTTGAATCATTGTATGACTTGGTGACATTTGCTCAATCATTGTATGACTTGGCGACATTTGCTCAATCACTGTATGACTTGGCGACATTTGTTCAATCATTGTATGACTTAGCGACACTTGTTCAATCATTGTATGACTTTGTGACATTTGTTCAATCATTGTATGACTTCATGACATATTTTCAGACATTGTATAATTTTATGACCATCTCTCAGACCTCTTGTTACAGTTTAGAATATATTGAATCATTCTCTAAATGTGACACATCTAAAAGTCTGTGCAATGGCCAAGTATATTTAAAAACACAATTTGGTTTTTGTTTCGTTCCTTTTCTCAAATGCTCACACAACTTTTTAACGAAGATATTAGCATTTTTTTTTCTCCCAAATCATAGTGAATCTCTTATTTATCATATCAAAAATATAAATATTTATATTTTAGCCAAGCATCTTGTGCTTATAAACCAAATGTCGCAGTATAGGATCCCAATCCACAAATTCCATCGCCACCACCCACCGTCCGTTTCACCAAATGAACTCTTCAACGGTTTATTCAAATTTGACACTCGTACAACGTCGAATTGGCTTCAACATTTCTAAGACCGGAAAACGTCATAGCGCACTACGTCATGTTGCTATTTTTAGTCAAAGTTTGTGCAAAACAAAGCTTAAAACAAAAGATAGCAGTAACAATGTGTTTGTAAAATCTCTCATCAAAAAAATAGTTGTAAACACGTTCTTGCCTAAGTTAAGAGCCACAACGTTGGCTCACATTACTGTGGAAGTACCGAACAGCTGTAGAGAGATTGGCCAAACGGAATTTATTACAATCTTAATGAGATTGGCCAGATGTTCTATTAATAGATTTCCGCCATTAAATGACGAATCCTCTTATCACCAAAATTGTACAGCACAAATATTTAAAGAAATTTTTATTAGACATTATACGTTACAACTGAACTGTGACAACGTGACGGTGACATCATAACTTCGCCTGTATAACTGTGACAACATTAAGGTCAATGACAATATGCATGTGACAACATTAAGGTCAATGACAATATGCATGTGACAACATTAAGGTCAATGACAATATGCATGTGACAACATTAAGGTCAATGACAATATGCATGTGACAACATTAA